CCAATATTTTAATTTCTTGAAAATTACTTCTGATTTCCATGAAAGCAGGAACGCGAGTGGGTATCCATTTGTTTTGAAAGGGTCATAACAGAGATTACTAATTAGAAGTTGGATAAGTGATTGAGTAAATTGGGGTCACCAATTTTGCTGTGCATAATTTGTTAAGTCAGCAAAATGTTCCTCGCTAATTCGGATTAGGAATCAGTGTTGTAAACGCTGTGCAAACTGTTCTCTTGAAACAGATTAAGGGTAGGCTCTTTGAAATCGGTGAGGGCGTTTTTTTACCGTACACACTATGCAGGATTTTTCTTTGTTTGCTTTTGTTTTGATTATAGTGGCATTTGTATGTCTATGCCATGTTTAAAAAAACTCACCGAGTAGCTGACTCTACCACCTTCTCCCTACCGGATCCCCACTCAACTACATGTTCGGTTCCATACCTTGAATATTTTTCATTTTAACATCTCTTTTTGCGTAAAACCGGGAGGTAAAAACAGGATAACTTTTTATCTCATTGTGTAAATTTATATATTGGAGTGCCAATAGGTATTAACCCATAGATAAAAAATTAAGTCGTGCAAATTATGCCCCAGAATGTGTTTTTTGAATACAAATCATACCCAGGTGTGCAAATTATTTAATATGCCTTGCCGAAATATTACCCCTAACTCCGTGTTTTTTTCTTTCAAGGCTGGGTACCCATCATTCTGCAGAATGTACCCTCTTCCCGGGGCTCACCCAATTTATTTATGGACTTTAATAAGGGTAGCTGCAGTTCTGTAGTCATATTCGTGTGCGGATTTAAGGGGAGGCGCGACAAAAAAAAATACAAATCTTTTCTTTCGGCCAAGTCATGAGGATAGCAGTGTCCGCCGCCCCGTTACCAAATTTCTGTATCCGCCAGTGTCATTTGTTTCATTATACTAGAATAGTAGTTCGCTGTGTTTTCGTTAGTTGTCGGATCTATTCCGCCCGTCGTGGGGTGATCGCTGCACGGGGAATAGTTGTAATATATACGAGCATGCAAGACGCCAATTTTTGTTGAAAATCGCGGCCCTGAAGACCAAATCACTCAAAGCCCAACCTTCGAAAAAAAAATTCAAAAAAGCCCACCCCTTGAAACAAATTTACACGAAAAACCTCGGAGTTCAAGGGTCAAGGGTCCATGAATTTTGCACAGTACGGGGTATATTTTTCGGAGATCGCATGTCCGTTACTACCATAAATACAACGGTACTTTAAAAAAATGTTTTGGCAGTGGTGCAACACCTTGTTGTTTTAGGTGTTTCTGGCATTTTATCAAAATAGTGGTTGTTTTTTAGATTTTGCAGAATACTCTGATATCTACCTATACCAGCCTTGTTCACCCAGAAGAAACCCCACCCCTTACCATATATACCCGAGTTCAAAATTAGAAATGGGACTACATGACTATCATTGCTACATGATCGCACATTATATCAACTCAGCTAAAACAAGACTCTTTTGATTCCTGAATAGGTTCAAAAATAGGCCTTACAGTGTTCATTTTTTAAACACAATTTATAGAACCATTGGGTGCATCGAATACCAGTTGGTAAGTTTCTACTACCGGGGTCCCGAAACAAAGGACGACATAACCTCGTCATGCAGCAAACTACTTCTAAATCTATAGATTGAAGTGTATTTATTTCATGGGGGAATTTTGCTCACCATTTGCAAAGATTCCGTAAAAACAAGAATCTTATTTCGCTTAGTATGTTATTTCTCAGACAAAGATTATACTTGTATCTAGTACGACAAGATGATCACAGGTTACAACAAATATTTATAAAAAAAAAAAAAAAAAAAAAAAAAAAAAGCCACACGTACTTGAAAGTGAAAAGCAAAATAAAATGTGCTACAAAACCATTGTAAAAAAATGTTGCTCAAAACTAGGTGAAGAAAAAATAATAACAGTTTGCACAGTAGTTCCGTTACTTTCGAGTGTTTGTATATATTGATGTTGGTGAGCAACATTTGCAATTCCCTGCCAATATCCCGATCGGGGGTTATAATCTTGACTGAGTCTTCGTTTAAAAACAAAAACAAAATCCCGATCGAGGTATATTCAATGGACGGTTAATGTGCCGTTAAAGATGTGACAGGACTTTTCCAATTAACTGATTAATTAACTGAATGACTTCAAGAGTCAATTACGATGAATACAATATTTAATTATATACATT